GAACCCTCAGTTTGTTTTTCAGAGTCCATCATCTCTCATGGTTTGTCTCCCCCTCCGATTTGCCCCCCTTCATACTTCCCCTCCTGCTATCTTCTTTTTTTTTTTTTCTTAACATATATTGCATTATTCGTTTCAGAGGTACAGATCTGTGATTCAACAGTCTTGCACAATTCACAGCGCCCACCATAGCATATACCCTCCCCAATGTCTATCACCCAGCCATCCCATCCCACCCACCCCACACTCCAGCAACCCTCAGTTTGTTTCCTGAGATTAAGAATTCCTCATATCAGTAAGGGCATATGATACATGTCTTTCTCTGATTGACTTATTTCGCTCAGCATAACACCCTCCAGTTCCATCCGTGTCGAGGAACTTGAAATTGAATTGAAACGGGTCTACCCTTTCCTAGCCATGTGACTGTGGCACGTTCCCTTTTATTCTCTAACCCTATTTGCTCGTTTATTAAACGGGTATAAAAATTTGTCTTCCAGGGTTAGAGCTAAGAATGAGATGAGTAATACACAAATACCCAGCCACTGCCTGGCACAAATAAGCACTCAATAAATGTTAGCAATTATTCTGATCAGTCAGGGATGCTGTGATAAGGAGAAAATGACTCTGGGAGAGGAGGGGGTGGGGGGAGACTCAGATGTGGAAAAGATAAAGCAAGAGAAAATATGCTCTGTGTCCCAGGGGCATTTTTCACATCCTAAACTTTTTGAGAAGCCATGTATGCATAGAGCCCTCCACTTAGGACAGTGGGCTAAATTTCTTCACAGCCTTCCTTTGCAGAAATGGCAGAACTCGGGAAGTTTATCCAAAGCCTCAATGACCACACTTCCATTATGAACAAACCAGCAAGGTGTTCATTTCTTGTAATTTAGACATAGCCACAAACTATGGCCTAATGAAATTTTTTATTGCAATCAAATGCTCTTCAAGGGGGTCTTGATAAATCTATCAGGAGAAGTAGCACATGCATTCAAAGAGAGTATGTCCCTCCCTCCGGTTTCTCTGTAATTTACCTACCTATAACTTTTCTGAATGCTCAAAAGATAAATAAGGAACACGCCTTGAAGAGACGATTAATAGTACTCCCAACATTTTATGTTGTACAATACACAAAAAGGACTTTTTTTGTTAAGTTAATTTGTATTTGCAGGCTTTGTGTCCAAGTTCAAATTTACCCTGAGAAATAGCTTTCCAATTCTGTATGTAATAGAGAAACAAGAAATTATGTGATCATTCAATCTTCAAAGAAAATCAGGGGTAGGTGGAGATGCCATCAAGAAAATAAATGTTAAATATCCATTGATACTGTGTAGTCACTGAGAAAATTACAAAGTCTGTGCCACACCAAAAGAAATGCCTCTATTTTTCACCTTTAAATGAATGAAGTAGAACACAAAATCACATTCCTACACTGATAATAAGGACTGGGTAGATTAGCATCCAGCAAAAGTAGTTCAGTCAGCTGAGATGGTAGGATCTGAAATGAAGGGTTTCTTCTTTTCTCCATTTCTCTTAACATTGTTTTAATGTTTGTGCAAAAAAAAAAAAAGCTTTTTTTTTTTCTTTCTAGAGGAGAATTCAAAGGATAGGAAAGAAATACAAATTCAATCAAATAAGGAAGGGTAATTTCACAGAATATTGCCACTGTTCTCTGAAAACAGGAAGCGCACAGATGTTCAAAGAAGTAAAACCAAATCAAACAAACCACATGCACAGGGCTTTACCAGTCATACTTGAATGTATGTTACTTTCTCCCTTAAAGCCCCTCCAACCTTCATTCCTGACTTCATGTTCTAAAGCCAGACATCATGGTTCCTTTTTGCCTTCAGAAGCACTAATATGATGTTCCCACCAAGAGAATAGTGCCAGGCATTCAACACCCTGAGTGATAAGCAATATTCATAAGTTAATCCAAGTCTTCAAACTCATCACCCTTCTAAATGGTATGGCCCACCCCAACTCTTCCTATGCATTTTTGGCTCCTTTACCCTTTGGGACTGGGGGAGGAATGAGAGAAGCATAACGGGGGAGCGGGCATCGTAAGGCTTAGGGGGTTGGAAAGGGAAAAAAAAGTGCAGTTTGAAATTCTGAAATAAAAGGCAATGTTTAAAAACTCAACAATAACCTCCTTGGAAGATATTCATGCATTCCTTTTCTTCTTTCAAATTCCCCATCACTGCACACCAAGCTTGCCTGCTAGTGAAGGTCTGGGAATGGGGCCACGGCTGACAGATTCAGACAAAGGATGGAGAGTTAAACAGGGGAGATGAACTTTCACCCACTTAAACGAAGAAGAATGGGGGGGGGGAAGCCCAGAGCTTCCTCTCAGAACCATGGGCCAGCCTCCATCCATTGCTAAATGTCAGAGACCCGAGAGGGGATTAAGGCCACCGTGCCTCCCTAGGCTGGCGTTCCCACCCCTCTCCCGTGAATGAGCTGCCGGCCAACCTTCCGGTCGCACCTCCTCGGTTCCTCCTCCTCATTTCCTAACACAGGCGCCTCAACAGCAGCTCTCACCACCAGAATGCTAACTTGTCCCTTCGCAGTGCCCAACACAGCACCGCCCTTGGACGCTAAACCAGCAAGCTTAGAGAACTGGCAAGGCCCGGACCTGGCCAGGCAATGCTAAACCAGCGGAGCATGCCTCAGTTTCCCTGTTGCTAGGGCCGATCACACACAAAGCACTAAAACGCCCAGCACCCCCTTTTACGACAAATCTTGCTGCAGGGCGCAGAAGCTGCTCGGCCCCGGTTCCGCGCGCCCCGGGAGCCCTCCAAGCTGGGGATAACGGGTGGAGGCCAAAGCCAGGGTTGGAGTAACCGGGGTCGGCGTCTGGGGCTGGGGTTCCTGGCCTCAGAGCAAGGCACGAGCCCTGCTGGGATGGGGGTCGGTAGGATGAAGTCGGGTGAGCAATGGGATCCCCTGGAAGCAGGGCAGGCTCGGGGTTCGGGGTCTGGGAAGCGGGGTCACGCACGAGATCCCGGTCCTCGGAGGAGGGGCATCGCCCAGGGACCGCAGGGCGGGGAATCCCCCGGGAGCCGGTCCCGGGCCAAGGCGCGGGATCCGCGGGGGGGATGGAACCAGGTGAGGAGCCGGGACACACGCCGGACGGCGGGATCTGGGACCCGCTGCCGGCACGGGCGGGGGGGCAGGGGCGCCATCCCTCTCTCACCGCTGGAATCGATTCTTGAACCGCATTGATCCTCCGCTCCTCCTCGAGGGCCGGGAGCTCCGTCTCGTCAGCGCCGGCCGCAGGGCGCGCGGCCCTCATCGGCTTGGGCTGCTCCGGAGGCCGCCCGCGTACCCGGCGGACCGCTCGGCGGGGCAAGGTTGAGTGGGCCAGGCCGGGGGTCTGGACAGGGCGGGGGCCAGACCGGGCGGCTGGGGGCGGGAGGGAGGCCGCTTAAACGGC